AGTTTGTACTTCGCTTCAAGACTATCCCTTGTAAATGAAATAACTCCCTCCAGAAGTGGCTAAGTAATACCTCGTCTCTATCTGACACAATAGTTTATGGGAATCCATGCAAGCTCACCACTTCTCGTATGAAAACAATAGCCACAGTGATTGCTGTATCAGGGTGCTTCAAAGGGATTAAGTGTGCATATTTGTTCAGATGATCCACTACTACCAATATCATTAAAAACCCCTCCGATCATGGCAACCCTTTGATGAAATCCATTGTCACCTCCTCCCACATCATCTTTGGTAAGGCCAGAGGTTGTAGTAACCCTATTGGTATCATGACTAAGTACTTTTGCCTTTGGCACACATCGCATCTAGCTACCCAACCCTCTACATCGCTGCGCATCCCTACCCAATTTAATTTTGCTGACAACCGGCTATAGTTTTTTCGACCTCCTGAGTGTCCTCCAACTGCACTGCCATGAAACTCCTGTAGCAGCTTGGGGATGTATCCCGATTCTCTCGGTAGAACGAATCTCTCTTGGTGTGGTAGCTGGGCTCCTCTCAGTGTGTAATTGGGATGAATATCCGAGTTATACTACAAATCAACCTTGATATTCTCCAATCCTTCATCCTGTTCACTCTCCCATTTTAAAGCTTCCCAATCTAGGATCATGGGCACTAGCAAGGCTGCTAACTGGGGCTCTTCGACTCTCCTGGACAAGGCGTCTTCTTCTTTGTTTTCTAAGCCCGGACGATATTGGATCTCGAAATCATATCCAAGCAACTTGGATAACCATCACTAATGCTCCTATGTGAAAATTTGTTGTTCTAATAAATACTTCAGGCTCCTCTGATCTGGGTTGACTAGGAAATGTCTCCCTAATAAATATATTCGCCACTTCTAAATAGCCAAGACAATAGCCATTAGGCATTAGCTCTTTCTCTCGTACACCGACTTGAGTCTTGCCCTGACTGAATTAGGCAATAGGCCTCTGACCCTGCATGAGCACTGCCCCCAGTCTGTAGCCTGACATATCTGTCTCCACCACAAATGATCTTTTGAAGTCAGGAAGTGCTAGCACTGGTACACTGGTTATTAATTTCCCCAACTGCTTGAAAGCATGTGTAGCCGCCTACCCCACTTGAAATTGTCCTTCTTCAGTTGCTCAATCAATGACTATGTTATCATGTCATACCCTTGTACAAACTTTTGGTAGTATTCGATGAGGTTTAAGAACCCTCTCAACACTCTCAAGTTCTTAGATAAAGGCCAATCCAATATAGCCTCAATCTTGGAGTAATTCTGCTACCTCTGCTATGCTCACCACATGTCTCAAGTACTCCACCTGTGATTGTGCAAACGAACATTTCTTTAGGTTGGCATATAGCTGGAGCTCCCTCAATGTTTCTAGCATCATCCTTAGGTGACCCATATGCTTTGCCTTTATACTACTATAGATCAAGATGTCATAAAAAATACTAAGACAAACTTTATGAGGTAGGGCTGAGAAATCTGATTCAGTGCTCGGGGCATTTGTAAGGCTGAAAGGCATCCCCAAAAACTCGTAGTGACCTTCATGAGTCCTGAAAGCTGTCTTGTGCTGATTCCCTAGCTCATTCTGATCTGGTGGTATCCTGATTTTTGATCAATTTTTTATAAAATGACCTTCCCAAACAGATTTTTCAGCAGCTTATCAATCAGGGGATAGTAAACTTGTCTAGCATAGTTTTCTTATTAAGGGCCCTATAATCCACACAAAACCTCCAACCCCCATCCTTCTTTTTCACTAATAATACTAGGTTGGAAAGGAGCTACACTGGGTCTGATAATCCCTACCTCCAGCATCTCTCGGATGTGCCTCTCTATCTCATCATTCTGAATTTGCGGGTACTGGTACTGTCGAACACTGATAGGAGAGCACCTTCCTTCAAAGTGATAATGTGCTCGTGTTCTTGGGGTGGGGGTAACCCATTAAGCTGTTTAAAAACCTCAGGAAATTGCTGCAGAAGCTGATGTATACACTCAGGGACCTTGTCTACTGGTGAATCCCGAATTAGCCCAGCCCTATTTCCTATATTGTCTTGACCATGGTTTTGAGTGAAACCATAGTTCTGCATAGGCTGGCATCCTCTCATAGCACCACCTTCTTCCCCTCCACTTGAATCTCCATGGTCAAGGACTTCGAGTCCACCTTGGTCTCTCCGATCGTTTGTAACCACTTTATCCCTAGAATCACATCGATGATCCCTAAATCTAAGGGAAGGAAATCCTCCACTATATGTATGCCCTGGAGTGCCAGCACCAACCTTCTGCAAATTTCCCCACTCCTCCCCATCTTTCCGATTCCCATCATTGCTCCAAAGCTTTATGTATCCACCAACTTCAATCCCAACTGGTCCACGACCCGGTTGGAGATGGAAGTTATGAGTAGCCTCACTATCCACCAAGACTACCATTGGCTGCTCCTCGATCAATCCCCTCACCTTCATTGTTTGATTTGGAGTAATTCCCGCCACAGAATTTAGGGATACTTCATCCACACCAAGATGTAGCTGCTCTCTTTCTTCTTCTGCTTTCTCCACTAGGTCCTCAATGTTACTCTTCCTCCTCACAAACCAGAAGGACTTGGAGTATCCGGTCTTTGCACCGATGGCGTGGTGCATATTTCTTATTATAGAGATAGCACAAACCTTTAGCTCTCTTGTCCTGTAACTTTGCCTCTGTGAGGTGCTTGAAATTTGTCCCGGGGCGAACTCCCCCACTCTTCTCCCATGGTGCCTCCCGTTGAAATGATATTATTTGGGTGCTCGGTGCCAATGAAGTTGAAATACTTATGTAAGATCCTCCCACATCCACGCTCTTACTGCTTCTGTCCATCTGCCTCCAATCTTCTGCTCTCTGTGCTAGTTCCATCGTCTCCTTCAACTCCCTCGGCCTCAGCAATCGAAGGTCCGCTCGTATGTCAAGCTTGAGGCCCTTCATGAAATTTTCCTCTAGGATTGCTTTTGAAATTCCCCTCAGCCGTCCCGATAACAACTCGAATTGCTCTCTGTATTCCATGAGGGTCCCCTCTTGAGTCAAGGCAAGGAATTGCTTGTGTAGATCTCCTTCCCGAATGGCTCGGAAACGTTCCAACAAGCAATCCTTAAACTTCTCCCATGAGAGGTTCTGGTATCTAGCCTCCATCCATTGGAACCAAGCGAGGGCTTTCCCCTCTAGACATAACCCTGGGGCTATAAGCTTCTCCTCCTCTCTCAATCCGTTCACCTCAATGCATTTCCACCCGGTATACCCACCCATGGGCATGCTCCCCTTCAAACACCGGCATCTTCAACTTCCCCACCTTCGCTTCTCCATCCCAACTCCCTCTCTCACTGATAGTTTCCCTCGTGTATCGAGGGTGGGCATCCCACCTTTATTCCATCCGCCTCCCCTTGACCCGATCCCCATGACTCGGCTCGTCCACCTCCCTCTCCGGTTGTCCACTCCCCTTTGCCCAAACGGCCTCCCTTAATGGTCGGTCGCCCTACAACTTTCTTCATAAATCCCACCATAAAACTCTCTTCCCCCCCCCCTTCTTCAAAACCTCTATTCCACCCTTTATCGGAGCCCTAGGAGATTGCTCTTGATGAAATGAATTTTCCTCGTTGAGCTCGTCCCTCCAGATTTCTTTTCCCTTCGATTCTGCCAAAACCCTTGGTCAAATCGTGGTGAGGATTCGTAACCGGAACCGCTAGTGGGGCTTGAGATTGCATCTCCATGAGCTTCTTTTTCATATGTTCTATCTTTCATAATTGGCTCTCCATCCGATTTTTCAATGTTAAAAATCTTTCCTCCATCCCGGATTTGATTTGCTTCACTTCCCCAACCTTAGGAATATCCAAGACAATGGCTGATTTTGTAGTATTTCTTCAACACGAAAGCAAGGTACAAATGATCTACAATTTGAGAGGTAGATCGTCTCTCCCACAAATTCTAGACGTTGCTAGGAACTCGCTACGAAAGAAACTACAACAAGAACAAATCACACATAATGTAATGAGACCACAGAATCAGCCCTAAATAATCTCTCCTAATTCCACCCAAAATATCATCCTTCCTTAATTTCCTCCCCTATTTTAAATTAAAACTCCTCATTAAATCTTTCCTTAATCTCTCTTTAATTTTCTCCTTAATCCTTCTCCTTACATACGAATTACAAGTTTATTGGGCCTCACAAAGGGGGCGAAAATCCTACTGTCTCCACCCCTTCCGCCAGGTTCTGTTAGTCAGGCTCCTGCTGGACTGGCTGGTGGCTGAGCCGGCTTCCTCCCGTATCATAAGACTAATAAAATTTTCAAAATTATTACATTTGGTATTGGACAATTAATACTTTATAGCTAAAATGAGTATGGCAAATAAGACATTAAAAAACGAGTGCTAGATTATGATTGATATGGTGAGAATTATTATATCAAAAAGATGAAGGGATAAATATCTATTCAGGATTAAAATAGTAGACTATACAGTTTTAATTTATTTGGGCATCTAAAATAGAAATTAGAAGATGCTAATGCGTGAGAACTAAGAAATGAATGGATAAACAAAAGTAAATTAGTCAAAGTTAAAAATTTCATAAACTAGATTTAACATTTATGTAGCACATCATGATGACCGGATGAGAAATTCATATAGCTGCTAAAAAATAGTTAAGATTAAGGCTAATGGTTAAGATAATAGTCTTTTGAATTGCTGAGATTATTACGTGTGGAATCCAGATCCAGTGAATCCTTCGGTTCTATTACTGTGAACAGTAAAAGCACAGCAGTGAAAAATAACCGTGCTTTTACTGTTCACAGTCACAAAACTGAACGGTTCTCTAGGTCCGGACTCCGCACGTAATAATCTCTCTTTGAACTGATAAGCCAATGAATTGTCCTCTCCGACATGTTTAATGTGCGGCGTATATTTTTAGTTCAATCGAAAAAAAAATACATATTTTTATTAACTTAAACACTTTATTTTGCAGTATTCCTGTCCGGTATGAATCGTTTTGGAAAGAAGTTGAGGGCGTGAAGCACATGTGGAGGAACAGACAAGACTTGACGGTGGAGGAATTAGGCATTGCTGCTGTTTTTGGTCTGGAATTGTTTGGCTGGTTCTGTGTGGGGGAGATTGCTGGCAGAGGATTCACCTTCACAGGCTACTATGTTTGATGAAGTTACTCAGGAAAACAAGTATGGCTTGCAATTTGCATTTGACTCCACTGTTTATTACATGATCCCTAAACCCTAACATTTTTTTTTTAAAGCTGGCAAATCTGCAAGAAAAGCATCATTCTTAGACCCTATACCCTATTGGACAAGCATCATGCTCAATTTAATTTCAGAGTTTCGCATTGTATCAATTTAGTCTCTCGACTATTAAAGATTGATCCAGTCTAGTCCTAGAGCATAAACTAAGAGTTATATATGAGGATATTTTAGATAGTACAAGTATATGTGAGATTATGCTGTTTATATTGTTCTATTTTATCATTTATAATACATAGTTAATATATCAAATAAGGAAGATAAATAAATCTAGCATTAATTGTCTCTATCTCCTTGTGGATGTCGCACATTATTGTTTTTTTCTTCATTTATGGATGCGGAAGTTTATTGTGCTTGCTCGCAGTAGCGCAGGCCATACCTGCGGTCTCTAGCATCTCGCCCGCATTGTGTTGTCTTTGGCCTCGCCAGTCAAAGTGAGTCATCGCGATCATGGCCTTGGCCATTAAAGTGCGTCGTCTTGCTCGCCGCATCACTTGTTTTGCTTGTCCGCCTCCTGCGTCGAAGCACATCACACTTGTAGTCTCTGTCTGTTGAAGCATGTCTCCATGCTTGCAGCTACATGTCTTCTCCCTCGCACCATTTGGTCTCCAGTGTCATCTCTAGAGAATTATAACGAGAAGGCGAGAGATTATGTTAGCAGCATTTTTTTCGAAAATACTCGCAAAGAAACAAACACTGGCGGCTTCTTTCATTAATTCAAATGAAAAGTTTAACAGAGGGATCGAATCGGATAATTTTTAATAGTTGATATGCTAAAATGGAACAATGTGAAACTCTGCGATTAAATTGAGTATTTATTAATCACTTTCTTTCCACAGGCTATTTGATAAGCTCTATTCAAATTTAAACATAACAGATCAAGTATTCATACCAATGCCAAATTTAATATTTTTTAAAAAAATTTTTAATGTTATTTTTTTAATAATTCTATAATATTCACCTACAGAGCCCTGCATTTGATACTCATACCCACACCCACCAAAGTAGGACATGGGTAGGCTCACGACCTCGTTGGTGGGTATGGGTGGGTACTCAACATCGGGGGATAAATTGATTTACATTGCTAACCATTATATGTCGTATATTATCACAATCTTCATTATACAGTACTTAACACTGAACAGTATTGCGATCACGGTAAATTCTGATATGTAGTTTGAAAGTTTGCTGTCAGAGCAAAGGGCAACAAGTCTCAAGGCCATTAGTTCGTAACAAACTGCATTTAAAAAACACGAAAAGTTGACAGATATGAGTGGGTGCAACATCTCAAAAGTCAGATACTTCAGAAGAACAAAATAGTTATTGAGATAGCTACTTTGCTCTCTGATTACAATGGAGAATTGAGGTTTTTTGTCCTAAGCGGATAAGCATTAAATCGCTGAACTATCCTAATTAATTAATCACTAATGATTGGTGAGGGTAAGTGATTATATTTTCTTAGAAAAAAAAATTCAGCTGATTATGTTCGAATTAATGGTATGCATACTCATAATTATTTCAATCAAATTATTTAAAATAATAAATAAATAATGACACATATAGATAGATATGTCATAAATTAAGTTAAATAATAACGTGAAAAAAAAAAAAATTATGGTGAATAAAAAATCAATTACTAATAAGATGTTTTTTTTTCTTTTTAAAAATGATAATTGAAATGTGCATTTAAAACATAGTTTTATTTAAAATGTTTTGAACCAATTTTTTTTTTTTAATTTGTTAAATAATAAAATTAAATGCTACATGAATTATTATATGTTTTTATATTTATTTAATTTATAAGATGGTGAAATTGAATTATAGAGGTCAATCTCAGGGTCTAAATGTTTTCACTTGAGCAGATCTAAAACTGAATATATAGAGTGTAATTTTAGTAGCAATAGACTTAGTGAGGAGACTGTGACTTTGGGCAATCAAGTCATTAATAAGAGTACACGTTTTAGATATCTTGGATCTAATGTTCAGTGATTGTGAAATAGATATAGATATCATTAGCAGAATTCAAGTTGGATGATTGAAGTGGAGGAATGCATCGAGCTTGTTGTGCGATAGAAAAGTCTACCTCAAACATAAGGGAAAATTTCATTAGATGGTGGTGAGACTTGCAATGCTTTATGGTGCCGAATGTTGGGCATTAAAAGAGAATCATAATATTAAGTTAAGTGTTGCAGAGATTATGATACTTAGGTGGATGAGTGACTTTACCCTTAGAAATATGATACAAAATGAGCATATACATGAAAAGGTTGGAGTAGCTCGAGTGAAAGATAAATTAGAGAGAGTCGTCTTAGATGATTTGGTCACATAAAACGTGGTCCTTTTGATGACCCGGTTAGGAAGGTAGAGGAATTAGATTTGACTTGGTTAGAGAATATCGGAAATGTTTTTTCCTTATTAGATTTAAAAGAGAATTTAACTTTTAATATGACAAAATGGAGAAAAATGATTCATATAGGTGATCCCACATAGTGGGACACATGCTTGATTTTGTTGTTGTATATTCATTATGTTATATTTATTTTTTTTGAAAATTTATATTTTATTGTGGCCTCCAATATTTATGTGTATTTTATATTTTTTTAATAAATAACTTGTATGTGTAGCTTGTTATCTGTGTAGTTTTTTTATCGGTATCCAAATATCCAAATATCCAAATTATTTTTTATTTTTACTTTGACTGTGATCACCCGTCCATTTCGCAGCCATCTACCTTCCCGTCCGTCGATCGCTGTTCTCTCGGTCGCGCGTTATCTTTTACCCCGGTTCCTTTCTTCTTCTTCTTCTTAAGCGGGCGATTACGAGAGGAAGCGGCAGGTGCGTTAGATCTCCACTTACTCCTTGACTGTGGCTATTTCGAAGGAAGGAGGAAGAGAAGGGAAAGAGTACTGTGTGTTTGTCTATCTTTTCAGCTTGTGGAAGGTCAGTTTGAATCTTGCTCTGAGTTCTCGGAGTTCAAAACCCTAGAAAAAGATCGATCTATGCACGTACCCTTTAATTATTCTTTAATTGTCTTTAATGCGAGATCATAGAACTGCGAGTGTTTAATTTGTTTTTATTGCTCGGCTTGCGGTCTTTATCGAGGCGGATTTTTTTTTATATATATATATAATTTGGTTTTGGTGTTTTGTATCTCTAGGGTTGAGATGGAGGGCGGGGTTGGGATCGTTGGAGATAGAAAGGTGGAGGTGGAAGATGGGGATGTGCCGATGGAGACGGCGCCAGAAGATTTTTCTGATTCCCAAGTCTCTAATGGTCTGACTAAGGATTCTTCTGAGAATGAAGTATTTGAGGACGCTATCGAAGATGCGGAGAGCTTAAGCACACCGCAATATGTTGAGAGTGGGGTGTTTTTGGAAGGAAATAGTGGCGACTCTAGTTTCGGGCAGGGTTTGGAGAGCATTCATGGGTCCACTGATGTTGAGTTTAATGATCAGAGCCCTGATGAAGACAAGATTGTTTCTTCTGAGGTTGTTGATTCAATCACCAGGTCTCAGGCCAATGATGCCAGCTTTGGACAGCTTGAGACAGCTACAGCTAAGGAGGAGGTAGGTAGTCAATCTGAGGAGCAAGAAGGTTCTTATTTAGCAATCCCTGCTTTTAATAAAGATGATAGCTATGGTGATGTTGAAGACTTGAATGCCGATGTATTTACAGAGGGTGAATATTTGTCGTGTCAGAATTTGGCTGAACCACATGGAGAAGAAACAGCTGATGAGTCTGAGAATTCTGATCAAGCTGAAGGCAGAAAAGGAAAGGAGTTGATCAATTTGAATGTTGGTGAATCAGATGGTACAGTTGGGGAAACTTACTGTGTCCCAGGTGATGATGGGGAAATAGTTTCTGAGTCTGATAATGAAAATTTAGGTATTGAGAAGACTCAGAATGGCGTGATTGGAGATGAGACTTCTTTTCGTAAACAGAGTGTAGATGGCATTGAATATGAGGAAGATATTTCAAATAACCATGAAATTGAGGAAATAGAAAGTAAAGGCTTTGATGATATCAGGGAAGGTGATGGAATAAAAGCAGAGGCAGATTCTTTGTTGGTGGAAGAAGGATCTGCATATTCTGATGTTACAAGTGAAAATGAAGAGTCCTTGACTCAAAGTGGCGGGTCTACATGTCAAAGTAAGATGCCAAAAGAATCTGTTTTTGTAGAAAATATTGGTGAGTCGAGCTCCACTGATGATGACGAAAATAATGCTTTTACTCAGCAAGTTTCCGCAACCCGTTCACTCCCTGAGCCTTCATTAACACCTTCGTTGCCTTCTCGTCCGGCTGGCCTAGGATCTTCTGCACCCTTATTGGAACCTACTCGTTCACTTCAGCCATCTAGGGTAAATGGGTCTGTTTCCCATCAACAGACCCGGAATTCTGAAAATTCTGTCCCTGATGATACTGAGGAAGGTGATGAGATCCGGGAGAAACTTCAGATGATTCGAGTAAAGTTTCTGCGCCTTGCTCATAGGTTAGGCCAGACTCCACATAATGTAGTTGTTGCACAGGTCTTGTATAGGCTTGGGCTTGCAGAGCAGCTAAGGAGGAATACAAACCGGCAAGGGGTTTTCAGCTTTGACCGAGCTAGTGTTATGGCAGAGCAACTTGAGGCTGCCGGGAAGGAACCGCTTAACTTCACATGTACTATTATGGTTATTGGGAAGACAGGAGTTGGCAAGAGTGCTACAATCAATTCAATTTTTGATCATGCCAAAGTCCGCACGGATGCTTTCCAGTTAAGTACTAAGAAATTTCAGGATGTAGTGGGCACTGTTCAGGGTATACAAGTCAGGGTAATTGATACCCCTGGACTATCTTCTTGTCCATCAGATCAACGTCGCAATGAGAAAATTCTAAACTCTATCAAGAGTTTCATCAGTAAAACTCCTCCAGATATTGTCTTATACTTTGATCGTCTGGATATGCAGAGCAGGGATTTTGGTGATGTGCCTCTTTTGCGAACAATCACTGATGTATTTGGTGCATCCATTTGGTTTAATGCAATTGTGGTTCTGACCCATGCTGCCTCTGCTCCACCTGATGGCCCCAATGGCAGTCCTCTGAGCTATGAGATGTTTGTGACCCAACGTTCTCATGTTGTTCAACAGGCAATACGCCAAGCTGCCGGCGACGTGCGGCTCATGAATCCAGTGTCCTTAGTCGAGAACCATACTGCTTGTAGAATGAACAGAGCAGGCCAGAGGGTATTGCCTAATGGACAAGTTTGGAAACCACAGTTATTGCTGTTATCTTTTGCTTCAAAGATTTTGCAAGAAGCAAACATGCTTCTTAAATTAGAAGATAGCCCAACAGGTAGGCCATTTGGATCTCGTACAAAAGCTCCACCATTACCTTTTCTCTTGTCTTCTCTTCTTCAGACAAGGCCCCATCTCAAGCTTCCAGAGGACCAGATGGATGATGAGGATAGCATGTTTGATGATCTAGAGGAGGCATCTGATGAAGATGACGGGTCTGATTATGATGAGCTACCACCATTCAAATCTCTTACACGGTCACAGCTAGCTAAGTTGAGTAAAGCACAGAGGAATGCGTACTATGAAGAGTTGGATTACAGGGAAAAGCTCTTCATCAAGAAGCAAATGAAGGAAGAAAAAAAACGTCGGAAGCTCCTGAAGAAGATGAACGAATCAGTCCCTGACGTGCCCATTGATCACGGTGTTGAGAATATAGAAGATGAAACTGGCGGTCCCGGATCTGTTCCTGTTCCCATGCCGGATTTGGTGCTACCAAATTCTTTTGATTCTGACTATCCTACTCATCGCTATCGCTTTCTTGATTCTTCCAACAAATGGCTTGTTAGGCCTGTTCTTGAGACTCAGGGTTGGGATCATGATGTTGGTTATGAAGGCCTGAATGTTGAAAGGTTGTTTGCAGTTAAAGATAAGATTCCTATATCTATTTCTGGGCAGATAACAAAGGATAAGAAGGACTGCTCTCTTCAAATGGAAGTGGCCAGTTCACTAAAGCACAGTCAAGGCACAGTTAGTTCAGTAGGTTTGGATTTGCAGACCGTTGGGAAAGATATGGCTTACACTCTACGAGGCGAGACAAAGTTCCAAAATTTTAGATGCAATAACACCGCTACTGGCCTTTCGGTTACCGTCTTGGGGGATACAATGTCCGCTGGTGCCAAGATTGAAGACAAGTTGATGATAAACAAAAGGCTTAGCATGCTAATAAGTGGTGGCGCTATGGCTGGTCGAGGTGATGTAGCTTATGGAGGTCGTCTTGAGGCCATCTTGAGAGAGAAAAACTATCCCATTGGGCGCGCTCTTTCAACCATTGCTCTTTCTGTTGTGGACTGGCATGGCGATTTGGCTGTGGGTTGCAATATTCAAACTCAGCACTCCTTGGGAAGGGGAACCAACGCCATTTTTCATGGAAATTTGAGCAACAAGGGAAGTGGCCAAGTTGGTATTCGCTTGAACACTTCTGATCAGGTTCAGATAGCTTTGGTTGCTCTTTTGCCCATATTTAGAAGTATTATCAGGATGCTTTCTGTTTCATCTGAGCCTTTCTGAGAATTCAACATATATGATTAGCCAATGGAGGCTGCTACTCAGTCTGATTAAAGGATATGATATAAGGCAGCGCTTACAGGTGAGTAAACCTCAATTGCTGGGTGGTATTTGTCTCTTTAGTTAGGCTTTGGAATTCGATGTCGCATTTTATGGTAGGTATTTTGAAATATTTTAGAGTCAGGAGTGTAGAGATTTTGAAATGAAGTTATTTCTTTGATGCTTAATGAAGGATAAATTGCATTGCCTATGGCTGCTAATTCATCCTAGATTTCTTCATTTTTCATTGTTTGTCTTTTCAAATAAATTTGATTTAAAAATTGTTCATTTTTTTTAGTAATTTGTGTGACACCTACAGGTTCAGCATTCAATTATGCTAGTTCCGATCTGATTCGAAAAAGGTTAGGGTTTGAACTTTTGAGTTTTTCAACTATTTACATGACTTTGGGAGTATTTTAATGCATGAAAATTGATTGGGTGTGCTCTAGAATGTGTCATAAGTATTGCGTGTGAATTTTGACAAAATTTGAGGATGTCACTTTTGGAGCGGCCGCGCCTCAATGTTGCATGTTCTGAGTGCCGCGGCGTTGCACTCAGCCAAGGCGTCACAAAGTCACATTGTAATGCTAGCTCTCAGGTTGTTGTAGATTTTTGAGCAATGCAACGCTTCAGTTTGAGCATTGTGAAAATTCGCTCAGTAGGAAATTCAATTGTCTGCTATTATACAATACTGTGAAATTCTAACATGTGTTTAAATTTTACTTTAATTACTGCATAATGATGAAATATATGCCTATGTGATGAGATATATGTTTATATGATTGAAAAATATATACTGAGAGTTATAAGAGGCAAATTTTTTTTTAGATTCTATCTGTATCAGGAAATATTCTAGTGCCTATAAGGCATATTCCTGATGGGTATAAGTCATATTTTGGTGCTTATGAGTACAAAAGGGAGACATTAGGGACCAAAATCTTTTGAGATTGTGTTTGGGATCAGGATATGAAATGTGAAATGCTATATGATATAAAATGTTCTATTCTTTATTTATTTGGTATTTTCACTTATTTAGTATTATTAATTGCGAATAATTGTTATGCTTTATTTATCTTTTCCAGTACACATAATAAATTATATGATTGTATTTAGCTGCTTTTAAGCAAAATGTTTAATTACTAAAATAAAAGAATTTGAAAATGTAGATCGACTTGTGTGATTTGCTGAGTTGTTGTAGCTCACTGTTGGTTGTTTGTGATTTTCAGGATTTGGGAAAAGAAAGGAGGCTATTGATTAATAGTTCGGGATCATATTTTACTTGATATGTATTTTGCTATTTTGATTTTTGTATACTCATGATTAGTTTATTTTTTAAGTTATGTAGTTTCTGTCTGTAGCTATGTACTGTAGTATATATATGATGAAAAAATCATTATGGATGGATTATTTTCAGATTTGGATGTTTTAGTAGCTTTGTTATGTGTAGTTTTATTTGAAATGAAATTGGAAGAGTTTATGAACATTTCAAAACTAGATCTTGAAATTTTCTATCACAGCTCAACACGATGGGATCTATTTTGATCGGATTGGAGTGTGACAATTTATGCCATTCACCTGTCTTGTTTGCTGAGTGTTTCTATCAAGTCTAAGTAGGGCTGCAAACGAACTGAGCCGAGCCGAGTATGTGAGTGTTCATGTTTGAGTTCGTTTATCATTAGCTTGTTCAAGTTCAGTTCGTGTTTGATTCGAGCTTTATTGTTTGTGTTCATGTTTGGTTCGTTTAATTCAAAGGTGTTCATGTTTGATTCATGTTTGGTTCGTTTAATTCAAGGGTGTTCATGTTTGATTCATGTTCGGTTCATGTTCGATTTGTTTAATGCTTATCGAGCTTTAAACAAACAAGCCTTAATAAGCTATGTTCATGAACATATTTAACAAACAATCGAATGAACAAACAAACATTAAATTTGTTCATGAACATCTTAAACAAACAATCTAGCAAACATGGACAAATGTTAAATATCTTTTGTTCAGAAAATTAAATTTATAATAAAAGCAGTTGTCTATTTAAAATGAAAATATGATTAATTTATATGAATATATTTTTAATGAAGCTTAATGTTGAGCTTGTTCATGAACTTCAAATAATATTGTTTGTGACATTAATGAACCAAACAAATTAGTGTTCAAGCTTGTTTATTTAAGGATCGAGCATTTAAAATGTTGTTCAAATTTGTTTGTTTAGTTATTTAAACAATCACAAACGAGCTTTAATCGAACCGAGCATCGAGTAGCTCGCCGAACGCTTGGTTCGCTTGCAGCAGCACTAAGTCTAAGCTCACATAAGCTAGTAGGGATTTTAGACGAGCGCACTATATAAATTATGTTCAATTAATGATGTGAGACACTGCAAACTGATATTACTGTCCCGCATCAAACATTAAATAAACAAACTGAAGTAAAGCAATGCAAACTGATAAACAGTTTTTTTGAAAAAACTCGGTACAACTCGGTACTCGGTACAGGCGCTTTTTTTGCCTAAACCGAACGTAGATGAGCGTACGTTCACTGGATGTAATAAAAGTTCCAGTTTTAGAGCCTTTTACCTTCTTGCGCCAATTATTCAGAAACCACAGGACAGCAAACCTGACATCTTATATGTTGTAAGAGATGGCAAAATTGTTATAATAATAAAATAAAATCAAAGTTGGAAACATTTCTAACAATTTATCAAATATGAAATTTCTTATGAATTTAATAATGTTTTTAATAACTATTATAATGTTTTGTTTTAAAGTTGTATAAAAAATTAATATTAATAATAGTGTAATGTGGTGATTTTTTAATGTCATGAGACTTATTTTTTTCTGTATTTAGAAAGAAAGCCTCATCTCCTCATGATCTATAAACCTTCAATAGGTTTAACATCTTCATAAGTCTTTGTAATTGTTGACTTCAACATCCATAAACATTGATGAATCTATCATGATAGCCGCTTTAATAAAAAAAATATAATAATAATTTTATATAAAAAAATTGTTTTAAGAAATAATAAAAAAACTGTACCAAACGAAGCCAAACAGCTGCAACCAAAGATGGGCGACTTCAGCTTGCCTTACGGGCGCACTTTGTGGTATCTAAGGCAGTAGAAAGATGACGAATATTAATAGGTTAATTTTTCCGTTTCCTACACTAAACTTTGGACAATATTTCTTCCTACTCTTTGAATAAATATATGCTCTAAATTTGTATACACACACAAAAACAACAATAACAAAACAAGCTTTTATTTCTCTCTCTCTCTCTCTCTCTCTGTGTGAAAATCTTGGTAAGACGAACCCAATGACATCAAAGGTGCTTCTATTCGACTTTTAATGCTCCCAAATCAACCATATGAGGTAAATTTGAAAACTTTAGGATATTAATTGAGGTGTCAAATAATCTCTAAATCTTGCATGTTTATAATCAAATCAAGATAAGTGTGCGACAATTTAATTCTAAGATAATTAGAACTTTAAAGTGCTGAATAAGTGGGATATGATCGAATTATTTAATATGAGATGTTTGATGGAATGTTTTAAAATTTTGGCCGAATTTGCTCAAATGTCACTCGCAAAATAGAACCCAAATCTCCAGAAGTATATATAGGTTAGATTGGAGATAATTTAAATATCTAAAGAACTCTAAAGCTCAATTCAATGTATAATACTAGGGATCACCTTTAGCCAATGTCGTCCAACCATCACTACTCAGTTGTCATAATTCATGTCCCATTATACGAATGTCCTCGTCCACTTGCCAACATTATCCATCTGATGTCATCACCTCTCTACTATTTCATTCATAATCTCTATTGTAACTATATGAGACTAAACAAGAGATGTTCATTTATTAATCCCGTCTTCTTTCTTTGTGGAGAAGATATTTTTATAACTTTTTTCTTCCCTTGATTATATTTATATATATGTGTGTGTTGTGTAATGATGCTATTATTTTTTATATACCATCTAAAATTTATCTTGATCGAGCATGAAACACGAGGCAAATACACATTGAAAACATTCAAATTTAAATTCAGAATCCTATGAACTCTGATTTCAACAAACTTATAGTAATTGAACGTCTCAAAAATACAAACCCAATGACACTAAATTTACCCAATCCGAGGTGAAATGGGTTCAAATTAAAGACCCGAAGCTCATTTAGAAGGTTTAAATCATAAATTGGGCAATCAAATGATTTTCAAAAGTGACATGTTTATAGTCAAATCGTGCGGCTCGACAAGACGAATCTAATGAGCCCAAAATTGTTGAATTATGACATCACTAAGGCACTTAAATATATGATAAACCGTCCACAATCAAAGGAGTCGATATCAATCGTCCATTCAAAATACTCCCAACATGCCCTTGATATTATTCCTATTTATCGCTCTAAAAAAATTATAAATAGACCTTTTATTCTATATTGATGGAGGAAGTAAAAAAGAGAGGAAGGAAGGAGGGAGTAAGGGGGTGGAAAGGAAAGAAGAGAGGAAAGGAAGAGAAATATGAGATCTCTCTGGTCAGCTAACTTCTTCTCGCCCACCGCCTGGCCATCGACTGTCGCTGAAGTTTTGTTAGGCCACCAAATGTCACAGGCTTACTCCGGTCCGCCAATTATCACTGAATGTTCTCCTAGCCACCAACTAATGTCGAATTTACAGCCAACCATCGATTGTCTTTGGATTTTTTTTCAGACTTCTGCCCGGCCACCAAGTGTCACGGGACTTATGCCGTGACCACTGATTGCCATTGGATCCACTCGACCATCGTCGCTGACTACAGTTTTTTGACCCCAGTTTCCCTTCAACTACGATCTCTCTGACCTCCATCACCCGACAAAGAACTTTGCGACCTTTGTTGCTCAATTATGGTCCCTCATACAACTTTTCCCCGACTAAGGTCTTTATGACCCCCGTCATCTAACTATGGTCTTTCTGACCAACGTGTCCCGCCGACTACAGTTCTTCTTACCTCCGCCATTAAACAACGGTCTTTCCAACCTTTGTCGCCAGCCAGCTACGATCCTTCTGACCACCGTCATTGGCTACAGCATTTTTGACCTTCGTTACCTGCCGACTATGATCCTTCATACCACTATCAGCCGACTATGATTTTTTCGACCTCAGTCGTTTGCCACGTACAATCCTTCCAACCTCCGTCACCTTAGCACTATGGTCTTTCCGACCTCTGTCGCCCATCGATTACAATCTCTCTAACCACCATCTCCTGACAACGATCTCCCCGATCGTCGTCGCCCGACTACAATCCTTCCCACCACCATCGTCTGACTACGATCCTTCTAACCTACATGACTCCCGGACTATAATCCTGCTGACCAAACAAACATGTCAACACTTTTTCTTACAACTCCCACCATGCAATGCACACCATATGATGTATATTTGCTATGTCGAGCCAAGTCCTCCCCCCAAATAAAGTGCCTTATTTGTAATCAACCGCAAACACAAATATATTCATTTAAATTAAGCAAAGCCCTACAATGTTTCCCCTTTTTAAGAGTTTCCACTTAAAACTCTAGTGTCTCTTATAAATGCTACACCCAAAATGTTAATTTATTTGTATGCTAGATCTAACTTCTTCTCGCACACCGCCTGGCCACCGACTGTCGCTGAAGTTTTGTTAGGCCACCAAATGTCACAGGCTTACTCTGGTCAGCCAATTATCAGCAAATTTCCTCCTAGCCACCAACTAATGTCGAATTTACAGCCAACCATCGATTGTCTCTGGATTTTTTCCAGACTTCCACCCGCCCACCAAGTGTCACGGGACTTATGCCGCGACCACTGATTATCATCGGATATCCACTCGACCATCGTCGTTGATTACAGTTTTTTGACCCGAGTTGCCCTCAAACTACGATCTCTCTGACCTCCATCACCCGACAAAGATCTTTTCGACCTTTGTTGCTAAATTATTGTCCCTCATACCACTTTTCCCCGACTAAGGTTTTTATGACCCCCGTCATCTGACTATGGTCTTTCTGACCAACGTGTCCAGCCGACTACAGTTCTTCTTACCTCCGCCATCAAACAACAGTCTTTCCAACCTTTGTCTCCAGCCAGCTACGATCCTTCTGACCACCGTCATTGGCTACAACATTTTTGACCTTCGTTACCCGCCGACCATAGTCCTTCATACCACTATCAGCCGACTATGATGTTTTCGACCTTAGTCGTTTGCCACGTACAATCCTTCCAACCTTTGTCACCTTAGCACTATGGTCTTTCCGACCACTGTCGCCCACCGATTACAATATCTCTAACCACCATCTCCTGACTACGGTCTCCCCGATTGTCGTCGCCCGACTACAATCCTTCCCACCACCGTCGTCTGACTACGATCCTTCTAACCTACATGACTCTCGGACTATAATCCTGCTGACCAAACAAACATGTCAACACTTTTTCTTACAACTCCCACCATGCAATGCACACCATATGATGTATATTTGCTATGTCGAGCCAAGTCCTTCCCCCAAATAAAGTGCCTCATTTGTAATCAACCGCAAACACAAATATATTCATTTAAATTAAGCAAAGCCCCACAAATTTTCCCCTTTTCAAGAGTTTCTACTTAAAACTCTAGTGTCTCTTATAAATGCTACACCCAAAATGTTAATTTATTTGTATGCTAGATCTTCTTATAAAATTATGATGTTAACTTTTTTCATTTCTTTATTGCCGCCAATATTCAAGGTTGTAACAAACATAAAAAACTCACTTTTTTAATATATATATATATATATATATATATATATGCATGCTGTAATGATGCATTATTTTATTAAAGTAATGATGTATTATTTTATTAAAATAATATTTTGAGCGAGAAACTCGGGTCACAGTGCTCCTCTTCTCTGTCACGTAACGGTCACATAGCAGTACAGCGTTATTTATTTCCTTACAAGAACTTGCAATTTACTCGGCGATTTGAGGCGGCTTTCGAACTTTTGTAGCCTGTTCGAAGGCATAAGCAATCTCGATCAGTTTGGGCTCTGAGCCTCTCAATCCTCCAAAGCTAATTCCGAAAGGAACATCGTCGGTACCATAGCCGGCCGGTACGGTGATTCCCGGATAGCCACCAATGGCGAGAACAGACGATGCCGATGCATCAGGGAACACGATAGCGTCCAAGCCTTTCTTCTTCACCGTTTTCTCCAATCCATTCTCGGAAAGCTGAACCAGTCTTCTAATGGCCGCCTTCTCCGCCTCACCCAACCCGGTGGTGTTTTCAGCGGCCAAGAAGATTGCTTGGCCATACTCTGCTAACCTCTCCTGCATCCACGCGCGCGTCCATTCAATTCTTTCATAAAAAATATTATCTTTAAACGTATATAATCATGAAAACAAGCATCTGATTATGGCTGCAGTTCGTGTTCAATCGTCTTCTGTTGATAATTTATTTGAGTTCGATAACTATTTATAAATTTTATTATTTGCTACAAAGCAACACCAATCATTTTGACTACATTAATCCTTTTCCTCTACTATCATGTTAAGGAGAAATTATTACGTTCGGAGTGTAATTCTACATGTGGATTGTGAGTGTATATAATATGCATGTATACCTCTGTACAAAAGTACACTATACATTTTTGTACACAAGAGTACACACTATATACACTCATATGTACAAAGGTAACTCTAAATCAGGACTCCAAATATAATAATTTCTCCCTATTAAGACTCAAAATTCTCATTTTAATTTAATAAAAAAATAATTTCTAATCAAATCACTACATAAAAATAGTTCATTACCGACGGGTTTTTCCCTATTAAGAATCCCACGGTGGTCATGTGCGCTGGCGGGCAGCTGGGCAGGCGGCGAGCAGTGTGGGTAGGTAGGCCAGGCAGCGCGAGAACCAGTGGAGTAGTTGGACAGTGATGGGCGGGCAGCAGGGCAGGTAGCCGGGCAACGCGGGAGGGAAGGGCAGGCATCACAGGAGTGAGCTGGGCAAGTGGGCAGCAGCTGATAATGGTTCTTTTTTTATTTTATTTTTTTTCAAATTATTCCAGCGAACAAATTCCGCAGGAAATTTTTTCAGGCGCTTTTTTATTGCCGAAAAATTTTTCCTCAAAAACTTCTAAATCCGCCGGAAAATGAACAAATTTCTGCCTGAAAATTCACCGGTAATACGTGATTTTTCTGTAGTGAATCTTTTTATGTTTATATTTATCTTTTTTAACATAGGTCAAATCCAATACATCTACTCTCATAACTAGGTCATCAGAATACCGACATTTTATATTTATTATGAGTGTTTTGAAGTTCATTCTCATATATTTTGCATGAATATTTCAATAAATTTTTTTTTACATGAGAATTACGAGAATTTGTGTTAGAATTCGGTACCTCAACAGGATGATTGTTGTTGAAAGCGATGACATCTGAGAGTGACCTAACCGGGGAAGATACGAGATTTTTAAGATAAGTGTTCAGTGAGAGCTTGAACTCGGCCAATAATGCGACAGCTTCGCCACTTTGGAGCGGATTTACTATTGTGTCCACGTCTGCTATTTCAATATTATCCACTAAGATAGCTCCATATTGCCTGCAAAAATTACAAAGAAAGCTTAGTTAAGAAGCTATTTAATTATAGTTTTATTAATATATTTAAATTATTCAACAAATGCTATGTATTTGAAAAAAAAAAATCGGAATATAATTTTAATCAATATATTCTTTAAAAATTCATATACGCAAAATTTTATTGTACTCTTATTATGATGGTTACATATAAATATTTTTTTCTCAGTAATTTTAAATTAAAATAAAATAAGATAGATAGCTGATAGCTTTTTTTTTATTAGGGAGATAATAGTATACCAAAAAAATGATAGTGTTTTCCATTTAAATATAGTTTTTAAGATAATATATTAAATATTTTAATCCTATTAAATTTATATTATATTAATATTTTTATTGGAATGAGATATTTTCACCCAATATTTATAAAATCCTAAAATGTTGATATAACCAATTGGAGTTATATCTTTTGATCTTCAGATCACTTACGTTATAATTAGTCTTTGACTGAAAATGAAATTTAAATTATAAAATAATTTAATAAATAATTAGGCTTCCAAAAAAATATATATTTCTTTTTTTCCAAAAAAAATAAAAAGCGTGAGGATGACCTAAGAATGCGAAAGTAAGCTTCGAAGGTACTGTTTTCCACTGCGCCACTCGAATAGTCGAAAAAACCCCGACGCAAAATCCCTATCCTCTTCCCCTTCAAACCCTCCACCTTCAAAAACCTCCTATACCCACCCGCCGGAATAAATCTTGCTGCCGCCGCCGCCGTCGACTCCGGGTCATACCGATCAAATCCCACGATCGCATCAAGAACCGCCACCGCATCCTCCACCGTCCTCCCCATCGTCCCCACCGTATCCTGCCTACTCGAAATCGGCACAACCCCAGCCCTACTCGTCAATCCCACCGTCGGCTTTATCCCCACCACCGAATTCCTCGCTGCTGGACAAAGAATCGACCCATCAGTCTCTGTCCCCAGTGCCACCGTTACCATATTCGCCGCCACCGCAATCGCCGATCCGCTGCTCGACCCGCAGGGACCAGACGTTATGTT